GGATACCCACACCCCCCCCCCCCCCCCCCCCCCCCTAAGGGTGGGGGACGGATTTTTTTTCATGGTATTTGTTTAAACACCAGTTTCGATCCTAGTATAAACACTTTTTTTATGGTTTGGTGTAAAAAAAAAAAAAAAAAACCCATCTTTGAACAATGTTTTTATATGATCAAATGGCAAAGGCCACCCCCCTCACCCCTTACTTGCCCACCCCCCCTTATTTTAGATTCCCCCCCTTTTTGTTGTTTTTTATTTTTTTTGTTTTTAATCAAGTATTTCCTATTTAATGTAAAAATAAAAAGGGCAAAAAGGCCCACAAACACAATAGTTTAGGGTAAAATGTGAAAAAAGCTTATAATATGGGGTTAATTCCCAATTTAAAAATATTTTTTGTTTGTGTTTGGGGGTGTGGGCGGGTTAAAAACAAACCCCCACCAGAAAAAAAAAATTTTTTGTGGTGTGGCCCGTTAACCAAAAGGAAAAATATAGTTAAAATGCCCCGTTGGGGGGGGGGACCGGTAAAAACCATAAAATAAAAAATTTATTTGTGGGGTTGGTGGGGGGTGTTTGGGGGGTAAAAAAGGTAAAACAAAAAAAATTATATTATGTGGCGTGGTGGGTAAAACTTAAGTATGTATTATTGGGGTAAAAAATATGTTAAAAAAACTAAAACGAAAAAAAAAAAAGAACAAAAAGGAAAAAATTTTTAATGTGGGGGTGGGGGGGGGATTGGCGTAAAACAGGATTTGGGGTGTTGGGTTGTGCGTAAGAAAAAGAAAAATTGGGGTGGGGGTTGGTGGGTGGGGGGGTTTTAAAAAAAAAACAGAAAAAAAAAAAAAAAAAGGTAAAAGTGATTAAATGTTTACAACCACAACGTTTTTTTTTTTTTTTGACACCCCCCCAACGAAATCCCTTTTTTTGAAACGCAAGTTCCCCCCCCCCCCCCCATGGCCCCCCCCCCCCTTCGAAAAAAATTTCCGCAAAAAGAGAACAAAAAAAAATAACCCTTGGGGACACCTGGTTGGGGTGGTGGGGGGTGCGTAAAACCAGTAAAATTTATGTGGGGGTGGGGGTTGTTGTACAAAAAAAAAAATAAAAAAAAAAGAAAAAAAAATTTATATGACCCCCAATTTTGGTAAATCCCTGTTGAATACCATGAACGAATCCTTTTGTTTGGGTAAATATCCCAAAAAACCGGTTTATTATTGGTTTAAAACGAAGAAAAAGAACAAAAGAAACTGGATCAAAAGATAACAAAAAAAAAAGAACGCCCCTAACAGGTGCTTACGCTCCACAAGGCCCCCCTCTTTCTGGTTTTGTACAACACACCCAAAAAAATTCTTCTTCCCTATATGTTTTTTTGACCACACCCAACCCCCTAGGGACCCCCCCCCCCCCCCCCCCCCCCCCCCCACCCCCCGCAAAAGGCCGATGTTGGGGTGTGGTCCCCAAAAAAAAAAGGCAAGAAATTCCAATTAATGTTAAAAAAAATGTTTTTTGGGGGGGGGGGTTTTTGGTTACCAGCAGTACACCCAACTCAAAAAAGTATTGGGTGGGTGGGCCTGTTGTAAAGCCATGGATTTTATTTTAACACCTAACCCAAAGGCCCACCCCCCATAAAGGGCCCACCCAAACCCCCCCAAAAACCTACCTGCCCACACCCCCCCCCCCTTGAAACCAAAGTAACGCCCCCCCACCACATTACCCCCGCCAAGCCATTTTGTTAGTTTTTATATTGAATTTAATTTATATTTTAATTGAAAATGGAATATTAAATTTGATTCTTCATATTAAAAATTTTTATTTAAAAAAAATTCCCCTTATTGGTCCCCCCCCAATTTCAACCACCAAAAACTCCCCCCACTGGTGGTTAAAAAAATATGAAAATACCTGGGAACATTATCCTAATTATAAAAAAAAACCAGGGTTTATGATTTTTGGGGGGTTTGTATACCCTATAAAAGACCCGTATTTTGAATGCCTTGGAAAGGGGAAATAAAACATTTTTTGTACTTCGGCCGGTAAACTTGCCAAAAGAACAAAACAATTTTTTTCCCCAAACCGATGGGGCCCCCCATTAAAACACCAGAAAAAAAACCCCCCCATTTATTTTCCCTCCATAGAAAATATAAACACCCTTCAACAAAAGTTAAGACCTAAAAATCAAACAAAAAACCCGCTGGGGAACAGAAGAAAAAACCCCCTAAACAAAGCCAGTTCCACCATAAAAAAAGTCTTCCCCCCCCGGAATTATTGTTTGGGATAAAAATTTTTGATTTTTAGGGGTATTGTTTATTTTAAAGAAAAAAAAAAACTTTTTCATTCCCCTTCCCTTTAAAAATTCCCCTTTCCCCCCCCCCCCCCCGTTTCTTTTTTTACCCCCCTCAATTAAATCCCAACCCCTAGTGGTGGTGTGGGCCCCAACCTCCCCGCGGGGCCATTTTCGGAGAGCCACCAAAAAAAAACAATATCTAGACTAAAAAACAAAAAATGCGGACCCCCTCCCCGTTTATTGATTGGGCTGGTAAATCCCCGATTTTTATGGCGGCCCCTTCCCCTGCGGGCCCTATTCTTTTTTTTTCACACGACCCTAAAAAGCGTCCAACATAAAAACCCGACCCATTTTAGGTGGGGGTTGGGCGACGGGCCCAATTTTTCCATTTCCCCTATCTTGGAAAACCACACCCCCATAATTTAAAAGGCCCCCCAACTTTCACCTCCCACTAGCCCCAGCCTCCCCCCACCCCCCACAAAACCCCCCACCCACAAAAAAATCCTTAAAACGTCCCCCGGCGAACTACCCCCAATTATATTCACCCCCCCCCCCTGGAATTTTGGTTCCCCCCCCCCCCCCCCCCCCACCCCCCCCCCCCAGAAAATGTTGGTCCCCCGCCTGGTTCCCCCCCTCCCCACCAATCCATAAAAACACCATGCCCCAAAAAAAGCCGCTGCCCCCCCTCCCCCCCAGCCCTGTTTTTCAAAACAAATTTGTATTCCCCCCCAACAATAAAACGCAAAATAAACCCCCCAAACAACCCCGTTTTTGCCCCCCCCTCCCCGCACTCCCACCCCCCAATGACGAACCCGTAAAAAACGGAAAATAAAAAAAACAAACAGTATATTCACACCCCCCCCCCTTGGGGGGTTTTTCCGCCCCCCCCCCTGGGGCCAAAATGAAAAGGGGGGGCCAAAAACCACCCCCCCTTTTTTTATCCCCTCCCCCCCATTTTTTAGAAGGGAGAGGGGGGAATCCCCCCCCAAACCAAGCCAGTTGGAGCCCCCCCCCCCTCGATTTGTGATTTATTTCCCCCCCCCCACCCCCACCCATATGTAAAAAAAAAAAAAACCAGAAGGTTGGGATTTTGTTGGGAAAGGGCTTAGCCGGCCCAGGAAAAAGGAAAAAAAGAAAAAACGGAGCCCAGACAACAAAATCAAATTCCCCCCACAAAAATAACCATGAAACAAAATTTTTTGCAGAAAAAAAAAGAAAAAAAGGGGTTAAAAAAAGGACTTTTAAAAAAAAAGTGGGGGACCAACCCCCCCGTGGACAAATAAAAATTTATGGAAAAAGGATCGCCAAGCCCCAATTGCCCAGAAAGTTAAACACAAAAAAAAAAAAAGGGCACAAAGACCACCCCCAAAAAAAAAAAAAGTTTTCTTGGGAGGTAGTTTTTTTTATTTGAAACCCCAACAAGTGGGGATTACATATTTTATTTTAACGAAAAACCCAAACTCGGGCCCCTAAAACCCAAAACCGCCTATTAAACAAAAAAAGTGGCCCCATTATAAAACCCACCCCACTTTTAAACACCCATCGTATAAAGACCCGTTATTTTTACCTCCTACGCAGGAAACAATTAATTCAAAATAGCCCCCCCTACCCTCATGGGCCCCCCTGGTGAAGGTTTTGTCCCCCCCCCCCCCTGGGGGTCATCAAAGAAATCCCAAAAAAAGCCAAAAAGTTATTCCCTGGGGGTTTCACCCCCCATTTAATAACCCTGAAACAAAATTGTGGGGGGGTCCCCCCACCCCCCCCCTTGGGGGTTGGTATTTCTTAAAAATCAAAAGCTAAAAAACAGTTTGGGAATTTTGTATGAAGGGTGTTTTTAAATGGTTGGTATCAAAATCCCCTAAAATATCTTTTTTTTTTTACAAACCCGCAGTCCCAAGAAGAAAAGTGGGGAAAAAATAAATCACAAAAAGGGTATTTAAATTATTTCCCCCCCGCATAACAAATGAACCATTATAGTTTTGATTTGGGTGGGGGGGGGGGGGGTTTCTGCTGAAAACAACCCTATGGGGGATTGTTTTTTTATTTTGAAACCTTTTGGATGTTTTTTGTATTTTTTTTTTTTTCCTTTGGGGTTTAGAAAAGGAATTTGGACAGCAAAAAAAAATTCCCCCCCATTTTATCCGGAAAAACTATAATCCCAAAATCAAGATTTTGAAATATTGATTTTTTTTTCCGCTGACAGATGGGGTGGGAGAAAAAAAAATATTATGGTATCTGGGGTTGATAATCGACCCCCTTTTGCACCCGGGTTTTGTTTTTATTAGAAAACCCCAGGGGCCCCACCCCAAAAATTAAACCCCCCAATTTTTTGAAATTAAAAAAGTAATACCGGGACAAGCCCCCGGTTTAATGGAAATGCGGAAGGGAAGTTTAAAGAGAACGAAAAACAACCCGCTCCCCGCCAAAAACACCGGGGGGGAAGAAAAAAAGTTCCCCGAGTCCCCCCCATGCCCTTTTTTTTTTTTTTGTAAACCCTGTAAAAACGGAAGGACCAAAAATATTTTTGTCTGTACCACCCCCCCCAATTTTTAAAACCCCAAAAAAATGATTTAATGGAGTGGAACCAAAAATTTTTTTTTTTTATAACAACAAAAAATTAAAAAACTCCCCTTGTTCGGAGCAAGTAAAACAGGCCCTACAAAAAAAAACAACCCTTATTCCCCCCCCCTTTCTCTTGCCCCTCAAAGACAGGTAATTTATTGACCCCATGGGGGTTTGGTTTGGGGGGGTGGGGTTGTGGGGGGTGGGGGGTGGTAAATGGGGTTGGAGGGGGGGGGAGCCGGTGGTCCCCCCCCCCTGCCTCCCCCTGTGGGGGGCCGTAACCCCCCGTGCCCCCCCCCCCCCCCCGGGCGGTTTGGTGTAAGGGATGGGGGGTTGAAAAAATAGATATAAATTTTTATTGTAAATGGTGCCCAGAACAACAAATTTTTGTATGCAACAATATGTTGATTTTTTGGCCACCCCCCCCCCCCCTCACCCCCCATTTGCCCCCCTGGTAAAAAAACCACGGGTTAAAAAAAAAAAATGGTCCACTTTTTCCCCCATATGTCCCCCCCCCTTGGGGACAACCTGGTTATTTGGACCCCCCAACCCTCCTTTTAATCCAGTAACCAAAACCCTATAGGTGGCCCACAAAAAACCCACCACTGCAGGGATTATTGCATTGACCGTTGTGGTAAATAACCCCCCCATGCCCCCCCTCCACAAAAAAACCAGCTACCAATCCTTTGCCACCCCCTGGGAATGGTACTGCCCTGGGAAAAACAACCCTCAAACCGCCATTACAACCCTTTATACTTAAAAATTAAATCTTATTTGTTTTTTTGACCAACAACGCCCCCCCTTTTTTTTTTTTTTGGGGCGGGGCCAAGAAGGTGTGGGGGGGGGGTGGGGGGGGGTGGGGTCCAAAGAAAAGAATTTTTTTTCTGGATTTTTGGGTTAAAAAAAAAAAACCAAAGGACCCCCCCTGTTTCACCCCCCTTTTTAGCCCCAAACTTTAAAGGCCCTTTTTTTTTTTATTTTGTTCCCCCGTTTTGTCCCTTTATCCTCTTCCGTAAAAACAAACGTTGGTTATTTTATTTTTAAATATACCACACCCCAAAAGAAAAATATTGTTCCCCTGGGTTATTTTTTTAAAACCAAAGAAAATACAAAAAAAAAATTGTCCCCCCCCCCCAAAAATATAACCAAACAAAAAAGAAAAAACCAACCAAAACCCCCAAAATAAAAAATTCCCCATGTTATAACGCCCCAACCCCGCCACAAAACAAACAAGTCCCCTGGGGTTAACGCAACCCAAAAATAAACCACCCACCAAAATTTAGGTAAGTTTACGCCCCCCCCAAACACAATCAACAATATAAAGTTTATCCCCTTATTTTTTAGTGTTAAAACGCCCCCAGAAAAACATTAATTTTTGAAAAAAAAACCCAAAAAAAAAAAAAAAAAAGCCTCCAAACAATGAAAAACCATGTTCCCCCCATGATGGGTTTTCCCCCCCCCCCAAAACGATGAAAAAATCAGTGGCATTTATTATATTTGTGAAAAAAAAACAAAAATTGTTTGGAAAAACAAATAACAACAAATAAAAAACCATGGGTTTTGTGGGATTTCCCCCCCCCCCCCCCCCAACTTTACCCCCCCTTGGGGTGGTTTTCTCAGAGGGGAGCCCCCCCCCCCCGTGTATTTTTGTATTTTTTTTTTTTCCCCCTTGGTATAAAAGGAATAAGACCCACCGTTTTTATTTTTGGGGGGCCCCCCCCCAAACATGTGTGGAACCAAATTGAAATGGAAAATGGTAGAGTATATTTTGCCCTAGGTGGGGGGGAGGGGAATAAGGTTTTCCCCCCATGTTTAATTTGAGGAATACCCGTGTTTTAAAAAAAATAGTGGTAGGGGTGGGGAGGAAGAGCAGTTCCCCTGTTATGGTGGGTGGGGGGTTGTTGCTTGGTGTATGGGTTAGTTGGATGGGGTTGGGGTGGGGAGGGGGAAAAGTTCCGGACTTTTTGTTTGGGGTGGTGGGGGGTGTTGGGGTTTTGTTTTTGGTGTTGAAGAGACCCCCCCCACCCGTTTCCCTTTTGGGTGGTTTTGGTGGGGGGAGGGGTTTGTGTGTTAGGGTTGGTGGTGTGGGGGGGGGAAAGGAGCGTCCCCCCCCCCCTTTTGGTGGGTTGAGGGGTTATTGGTGTGGTTGGGGGGGGGTGGGGTTGGTGGTGGGGGGGAGAAGGGGCGGATTTCCCCCCCCCCCCCTTGGGGTTTTGGGGTTTGTGGGGGGGGGGTGGGGGTTGGGGTTTTTGGGTGGGTGGGTTTTTTGTGGGGTTTGGGGGGTTGGGTGTGGGGGGGTGTTGGGGTGGGTTTGGGGGGGGGTTGGGGGGTGGGGTTGTTGTTGGGTGGGTGGGGGGGTGGGGGGGGGTTTGGGGTTTGTTGTATTTTGTTGTGTTGGGGGTGGGTGGGGGTGTTTTGGGGTTATGGTGTGGGGGGGGGGGTGCAAAACCCCCTTTGATTATTTGAATTATTATATAGGATTTTTTAATTTTCCAACCCCCCCCCCCCCCCCCCCTGGATTGGGGGTTTATCCAATAACCCCCCCCCTGGAAAAAGTGAAAAAAATTCCCCCAAAACTACCCCACCCGTTCCCATGGGGGAATAACTTGGGGTGAGTTTTGTTTTTTTTAAAAAAGACGTTGGGGGGGGTGGGGGGCCCCCCCCCCCCCGAAACCAACACCCGGAAAAAACCCCCCCACCCCCCACTGGTTCCAAGGCCCCTTTTAAAAATAACCAATTGGGGGTAAAAATGGCCCCCTTTATTTTTTTTCCTAAACGTCCCCTTAAGCAGGGTCAACCCCCCCCCCCACCCCCCCCCCCCACCCCCCTCCCCCCCCCGGTAAAAAAAAAAAAATAAGGGAAAGAAAAACCCCCCCTTTTGGTAAGGGGTTTTATTTTAAACGTTTCCCCCCCCCTGACAAAAAAAAGTTGTTGGGGGGGTGTTTTTAATGTGGGTTTCCCCCCCCCCACCCGGAACCCCGGGGATGGGTGGGGTTATTGCGGGGAAGAATTTATCAAAAAGGAGGTGCCCACATACTGGGGGGGCCCCCCCAAAAGTTTTTTCAAAGTTTCCCCCCCCGCCCCCCCCAGGCCCAGAACAGGGCCCCCCCTCCTGGGAAAAAAGCCCCCCCTAAATTTCACCCATTGGGGAAAAGCAAATCCCCCCCCACAGACCCCAGAGGAAAAAAAAATCAGGTTGTTCCAAGGCTTCCCCTTTAATAGAAAAAAGTTAAAAAAAGGTGCCAAAGTGGTTGGGGGGGGGTTGGGGTTATTTTGTTTCCCAAGTATTTATGCTAGTGCAAAGAAAAAACAATTCAAATAATGGAAAGAAGGGGTAGCCCCAAAAAAACAACTGAAAGCGCAAACCGCCCTTTTTTAAACAAAAAACCCCACTTGGTAAAGTTGGCCTGTGAACCCAACCAAAATTTCCCCCCCCCCCCCACAATTGGCAGCCCTTTACCAAAAATTTGTTATTAATAAAAGACAAAAAAAAACAAGGATTAAAACAAAATTATTTTTAATGATTTTTTTTGTTTTTTTTTGTGTTTTTGTGTTGGCAAAAGCCCCCCCCCCCTTTTTTAAGTCCCCAAGGACAGTCCCCCCCTACAAATTGGGAATTGAATAGGGGTCGAAAAACCATCACCAAGAGTGACTGGACGATTATGTTTCAAAAAACTGTTCCTCCCCCCCCAATGAAGAACTACAATACCCTGGTAAAAAACAATAAAAAAAAGTAATGGGAAAAAAAGGAAAAAAAAAATCCCAACAAAACAACATTTTTTTTTTCCCCCCTTTTCAAGAACTCCCCCCCCCGGAAAGTTGGGGGGGAACCCACGAAACCCTGAAAAAACAAAGGCAAAAAACAATAACGACTTTGAGTGTTTTAGTATGTTTATTTTATTATAATCCAAAGGCAGAGCCCTATATGCAAAAACAAAAAGAAAAGGAAAAAAAAAAAAATGTGGGGGGGACCCGAAAGGTTATAAATTAAGCAGCAAAAAAAAGGGAAATAAAAAGCAAGCACCCCCCACTTTCTGGCCCCCTCCCCCTACTTTTGGGGTTTCAAAATTTTGGTCCCCCCCCCCCCCTTTGCCCCCCCCACAACAAAACATACCAATGATTGCACTCCCCCCCGGTACCCCCCATTATGACCCTTTAAGAAAAAAAAAAAAACAATGGGAAAAAAAAAAATAGATTGAAAACATAAGGTGACCCCACCCCCCCCCGTTAAGCCCCCCCCAAGAAAGCCCAAATTTGGCATTATCCATTAAACCTGTTGGGGGGAAAGTCCCCCCCTAAAGCACGGGTAAAAACCCTTTTCCCAAGTTTGAAATTTTGGAAAAAAAACCAAGGAAAAAAAATAGAAGTGGAAAAAAAGAAAAACCCCCCCGTGGAAAAAAAAAAATCTCAACAACTTTTTGTTTGTTTTTGGAGGATTTTAAAAAAAGGCCCCCGGGCCACCTCCCAAAATTGGAATACCCCCATTTTTTTAGCCCCACCAGCCCCTTAAAAAAAAAAAAACCAAGCCCCACACAATTTTCCCCCCCCCCAGTTTTTGTAAAATTCCAGGTGGGGGTGAGGGTTTTTAATATTTTTTGTGCCCCCCCCAACCTGGTTAACAAATTAGCAAAACCCCCCGGTTGGGGTGGTGGGGGGGGGCCCATTTGGTGCCCCCCTTAAGCGAAAATAAGTCCCCCCCCCCCCCCTCCCCCTTGTATTGGAGGCACAAAAAAAAGTTGCCCAGTTTGGGGCCCGGCCCCATTCCCCCCCAAACAGAAAAATAAAGGATTGGACCCCCAGGCCCCGTAAAACAAACCCCCCAAGGAATAAAAAAAAAGAAGGGTACAGGGGGGGGGTCCCAAGGTCCCCCCCCCCCCCCCCCCCCCCCCCCCCCCCCCCTCCCCCCTAATCCCTTGCCTCTTCCCCCCCTAAGGCCCCCAGGCCCCCCCCCTGTTAACATAGCCAAACATAAAAAACAAAACCCGGGGGCAAAAAAGTGGCCCAAACAATCAGCCAAAAAAAAACAGCTATGTTGGGGGTCCCCCCCCCCCACTTGTAATTATTCCCGGCCCCCCAAAAAATGCCAACATCAGGAAAAGTTGTAAAGTGTTTTTATATCCCCCCCCAACCGGGTTTTGTGGGTTTTTTTTAATATTGGTGTCCAAAGGCAAAGAAAAAAAAGGGAAAAATACCTGAAGAACCATCGGAAAGAAAAAGCCCAACCCAAAAATCACCTGGGTAGAATTTTTGTAAAAAAAATAAATCCTTAAAAAACCCCCACCGGGGGGCCCCACAAAAACACAAATGAGACAAATAAAAAAACCCCCCCAAATAGCCATTGGAATTACATTAAAGCCCCCCCCCAGAAAAAATAGAGAGGAAAAAATAAAAAACAATCGGGTTAGAGGTATTTTAATTAACGCAAAATAGGCCCCCAAAAAACCCCCGAAGGGAAAAAAAAAACAAGAAACAAAACCATTATTTTAAGTGGATTTTTTCCCTTTTTAATTCCCACCACCCATTGATTCCAAACCCTTTTATAAACCAAGTGGATTTGGAACAATTATTTAGGGATAGTCAGGTCTGTTGGCTGGATATGAATGAGGAAAAACAAATCATAACAAGACACCATCCTTGGCCCCCATAACTCTGGGCCATAAGCCCACAGAAAGCTAAGCAGATAAATCTAATGAAATGTGACTCAAATAAATGGGGGCAGGCAACCCAATAAATATGGGAATTGGTATTTTTTTGTAGTGAAAAAAGTGGGTAAACTAATAATAAAAAAATTAAAAAAAAAAAAACCCGTTTTCCCAAACCCGAAAAAAAAGCCCACCGGCCTTTTGCCCCCCCCCCATTATTTTTTTTTTTTGTGGGGAAGACAAGAAAGGGATGGGGGACCCGTTCCTTTTGTGGGGGGGGTGGGGTTTTTCCCCCATCCCGGATGCCCCCCCGAATTGCCCCTTTACAAAACAAGAGAACCCCACCTCCCGGCCCTAATAAAGGCCCCTCAAGGGTTGGGGGAACCCACCTCCCCCCCCCCCCCCCCCCCCGACACCACCTGACTTTTTTAACCCCCCTCCCCCCTGAAACCCCACTTGGAGGACCGTTTTAAAGAATCCCCCCAAGATGGGCCCCGGTAAGAGCAGAACTTTGCCACAAATATATTATATTAGGGAAAAAAAAAAAACAAATCAAATGGTCCCCCCCACGAAACCCCCCTGGAATATAATGTTTTGCCCCAAACCCCCCCTGAAAAATAAAGGTGAAGGCCCCAAACACGTCCCTAAAAAAAGCAAAAAAAATGTGGGGGCCCCCCCCCCCCCCCACCCCCCCCCCCCCCCCCCCCCCCCCCCCCCCCCCCCCTAAAACCCTTGGCAAATGTTTTTGTTATTTTTATTTTTTATTATGTGATTTTTATTTTTTATTTTTTGAACCCTTATATGGGTTGGAGGGTTCATTCCCCATTTTTTTTTTTTCCCCCCCCAAATAATCCGAAGAAAGGGGAAGGTTGGGGGAGGGTTATTTACAAAATAATGCCCCACTTTGAACAAGCCCTTTTTACCCTTTAAAAGAAAAAAATAAAATAAAAAAAAAAAAGAAAAACCGGGGAAGCCCCAAAATGATTCTTGACAAACAACATTTGCCCCCCCCCCCTTACCCCACCTTGGGGAACCCTGGGTTTCCCCAAATACCTTGAAGAAAAAAAAAAGGCAGGTGGGGGGGTCCCACATCCCCCCCACCCCCCCCCCCCCCCAGCCATTAATATTTTTTTATTCACGCTAATTTTGAAAAACATTATTAGGGAAAAAAAAGAATAGTCCCCCCCCCCCCGGAAACGGTGCCCCGGGGGTATTTCTTTTTTTGGGGGAACGTCACTGAAAACAAAATGGGGAAACATATTGGCCTTCCCGGATGGGGAGGTGGGCTATGGTTGAATAGAAAAAACAGAAAAAAGGGCCCCCTGTTTTTTCCCCCCCCCAATTCTCACTGAAAAACCCCCCCCAAAAAAAATTGAACACCCCCCATCTACTAGATTGTTTTCCTATTTCCCCCGCCCCCCCGGGGAGGCGCCGAAAACACCCCCCCCAACCACTAACATCAAGGGGATCAAGGAACTTCCCCCCCCCCTTCAACGCCCCCAGGGGTACCCAAGCCCAAGAAAAGGAAAAAAGAAAAAGGGGTTGGGTGCTGTTTTGGGGGCAAAACATCCCCCAGAAAAAAGGCATTGGCTATATATCCTGTCAACCCAACACCCCCATTAGAAAACAAAAAAAGCCCACAAAGCCTGTACCCTAACAATTTCCCCCCCCCCCACCCCCCCTGAATAAAACCAGTCTGTTATGTTGTCCCCCTTTTCCAATTTAATGGTAAAAAAAAAGGAGAAATTGAAAGACAAAAAACATTTGGGGGGAACACATACTAACTTGCCCCCCAAACCCCTTTCCCCCCCCCTCGGCCCCCCCAATTGACCCCCCACCCATAAAAAATATCCCCCCCCCCGCCAAAAACCACAAAGGGGGCCCACAAAATTACATAAAAAAAAAAAAAACCCAAGACCCCCCTTTACAAAACCCCCCAAAATAAAAAGGGGAAAAAACACCCTGGGAGCCCGGCCCCCCCCCCCAAAACATCCAGCCCCCAAAAAAAAAGGGTGGTTTTGTGAGGCCCAATGGGGAGCAGGAAAATAGAAAGTTGGGGGAACGGAAATTCCCCCGAAAGGGAAAGAAGGGGGCCCCCCCCTCGTCACCCCCAGGAAATTTTATTACAAAAAATTTGGGGGTAGCCCCCCCCCCTTTGAAATAAAGGGGTAAAAAAGTCTTGATAAATTTAATTAAAAATATTGGTTTTATTATAAAAATGGTGGAATTATTTATATTTTTTTTTTCCCCCCCCTAAAGAAGGCCACACCCCTTTTTAAAAAAAATTTTTTTTTTTTTGATTTTTTTCAGTTGGGCGACCAAAACGGGGAAGTAAAAGCCAAAGTTAAAAAAAGAAAAGGATTTTCCCTTCCCCCCCCCTCAAACAAACCCGAAAAAAAACCCCGGGGCTAAATAAAAAAAAAAAAACAACATTTTTCAAAAAAGCGGAAGAAAAAAAACCCTTCCCCAAACCCCGAGTATTCATCCTCCAGAATATAAAAGTTGCAACACACAAAAACCCATTTGGGGGGGGAGTTTGTGGGCCATTGGGCCCCCCCCCCGCCCCTTTCCTATGTTAAAAATTTTGGGACCAGGTTTTTATGGGGGATTAACAAGCCCCAAGGGACCCAATTGCTTGTTTTTTGGTTCCACCACCCCCCCCCGCCCCCCCCCGCCCCCCCCCCCCCCCCCCTCACCCTGGGGAAAGTTGTTAAAATTGCCTAAAAAAATATATTTTATTATTTTTTATTTTAATAAAATTTTTCCCTCCCCCCCTCCCTAAGAACCCGTTTTAAGACTAAAGCCCCAATGGGGTTCCCCCCCCCCCCCGTCCCCCCCCCTTGGCCAAAAAAATCCCTGAGTTTGAAAATGCCCCCCCCCCTAGGTTGGGAGACAGACCCCAAAAATGAAAAACCCCCACCCCCTATCCAATACAGAAACCCCCTGTGACAAAAAAGGTTTCCCCCCTGGGACAACAAGGTTCCCTTCCCACTTATGCCCCTGTCACCCACCCCCCCCCCTGGCTATTTTATACTGCCCCACCCCCCACCAAGAAATGGGGAATCAACCCCTTAAGCACCCCCCCCCCCCCCACCCCTAACCGGATACATGGGAACATAGTTTTGGCAATAAAAAAAATTAAAAATGTATACTATAGTCCCCCCCAAAAAAAACAAAAAAATTAGAAAAAATCACTTGCAAAATTATTCGAAAAAACCAAAAAAATCCTCAAAAATAAAAATTCCCCCACCTCTTTTTTTTAAAAAAATTGTGGGATTTTTCCCCCCCCCTATTTTAGGGGCAAAACTTGTTGTTTATTCTTGTTTTAAATAAAATTAAAACACAAAATACTCCCCCCCTCCCCCCGTTCTCCTAAAACAACACCCCAAACATCAACAGGAAGGGAAGGGGGAAGGGTGATAAAAGAAAGGAGGGAAAAAATTTTGTAATAAAAAAAACAAAAAAACAAACCCATGTCCCACCCACCCCAACAATAAGAAAAAAACCAAAAAAAACCAAAAAAACTAGAAAAAATTTAAAAGGAATTTTAAAAATTTTTAGAAAAATATTGTTTTTGTTTTTTCCGGAAATTGGGGCCAGGTGGGGGAAACAGTTCCTAAATTTATTTTTTTTTTGAAACCAAATAGAAACATTTAAATTATGCAAATTGGGGGCCCACTTTCCCAAAAAAAAAAATGTCCCCCCCACCCCCCCCCCCCCCCGGTTAATGTCCCCCCCTTTAAAGGATCCCCAAAAAAAATCCTTTGGTGGGTAGGGGCCCCCCAAAAAAATAACTTTAAAATTGCAGGGACCCCCAGCCAAACTAAGTTTGGAAAGAACCTTTTCCCCCCCCCCCAAAGGGAAAAAAAATAACCCTTTTTCCCCCCCCCCCAAGTTCTGTTGGTTTTAAAAAAAAATTGAAAAAAGGGTTATGTTTTTCCCCACACCCACACCCACCCCCCCCCCCCCCCCCCCCCCCCCACCCCCCCAACCTCCCCCCCCCCCCCCCCCATTTGGCCCCCCCCCCCCCCCCCCCCCCCCCCACCACCCCCACCCACCCCCCCTGTGAGCCTATCACAAAACAAGGCCGCACCCCCTTTTTCCCCCACCTCAGAATATTGTTGGCCCCAAAAGAAAACAAAAACCCAAATGGCCCCCTAATTTTTTTGTTAGTTCCCCCCCCCCCCCCCCTTTTACAACTTTTTACTTTTTAAGGGAAAAAAAAGGGCAAAAAAAATAAAAAAAAAAAAATAATAAATTTTAAGCCAAAAATATAACCCAACCCTCCCCCCCAGGGGTGTTGATGGAAAATAAACACCACCCCATAAAAGGGACACAAGCCCCCCCTGGGGCCCCCCATTAGTAAAACCCCCCCCCCACCCCCTGGGGATTTAAAAAAACACAATCATCTTATTTAAAACCCAAGAATATGGGGCCCTCCCCAAACTGCCCCTGACCCCTAAAGACCCCAAAGGGGGTGGGCCCCCACATTGGGAAAAGTTTGGGGAAAGGTTTTTTGTTTTTTGAAAAAAACAAAGGTTTCCCCTTTCCCCCATCCCCGCATTTTGACAGTTTTTTTAGTTCCTTTTTTTTTAAAAAAGCCCGTTCCCCCCCGTTTAGTAGAAAAGAGTAATATAAAAAATAATCCTCTTATCCCCTTGCTCCCCTCGCCCTGGGTTCCCCCCCAACCCCCACCACCCCCCCCCCCCCCCCCCCCCGCTAAAAACAGAAAAAAAACTAAAATAAAAAAAAAAAAAAAAAATTACAAAAGTTTGGGCCCCCCCCCCCCCCCCTTTTTTTTTAGGGGGAACAAAAAAAAAAAACATCAACACATAAATTTTAAATTAATATTCAAGGAAAAAAATTACAAAAAAACCCCTTTTTACAAAGGGAACCCCTTTTCAAAATTTTTATTTTTGTTAAACATCGCTGGTCCCGAGGGGCCCCCCTTTCCCCCCCCCCCCCCCCCCCCTTTTTTTCCCTTTACCGACAAAAATATCCCCCCCCCCCACCCCCCCCCCCCCGTCCCCCCACCTCCCCCCCCCCCCTTCCCCCCCTTTGCCCCCCCTGCCGTCCCTGGGGCCCCCATCCACAAACCAACCCCCCTTGGCCTGCGTGAAAAAATGTATATTTTTTGGCCCACGCCTCCCCCCAAAGTTGTTTCCCCCCTCTGGGTAGTCCCTGGTTAATATTTGCCCCCCCCCTGGTGGGACAAAAATGCCCCGAACAAAAAAAAAAGTTCCCCCCCCCCCCCCCCCCCCCCTCCCCCTCCCCCCCCCATGGCGCCCCCCGAAGGGAATAGTATGGCCCCCAAGTATACAAATTGTCCCCCCCCCAACCACTCCCCCACCACCCCCCCCCATTTCATCCCAAAATATTCCCCCCTCTATATTGCATAAACATATTTTGAGAACTAAAAAAACTTGTTTAATAGCAAACCAAATAAAAGTTAGCCCTGAATTTTGTGGTTTTGGGTGCCTTTATTTCCTAATAGTTTATTTTTTTTTGTTTTGGTTTGTTTTGAGGAAAAAATTAGCCCCCAAAAATACCTCCTTTTTGGAATGCCCCCACCCCCCCGCAAAAAAAAAACCCTAAAAAACCAAATCCCACCCTTTTGGGACCTAACCATATCCCTACACGTGCCGCGTGTTGTGCGCGCGAGAGGAGTACCAGGTCCACCCCCCCACCTTGGGAAAAATCGCCGCCCCCGCTGATGATGGGGGGTAAGTGGGGATTCCCCCACCCCCCACCCCACATGGCCCACCGGACGTTCCCCCGCGGGGCAGCGCGGGGTGGCCCCCCCCCGGGGGTAAAGAAAAAAAGATGTAGATTTTTAAAAACAAAGGGTTTTTTAAGGGTCCCCGCCAAGGAAAAAGAAATGGTGGGAAAAACAGGCCCCCCCCCCCGCCGCACCCCCTTCCCCTGGTTATGGGTTGTTTCCCCCTCCGGCCAAACCACCCCCTGAGTAACTCCCCTTTGGGGGTGCCGTCCCCCCTGAAATCCCCGAAACCTAATCCCCCCCCAAAATGGTTTACCCCCAGGATAGTACCGAAAAAAAGAAAAAAACCGCCAACTTTTAGTCCTGAATCAGGGAGTATGGTCGTATTTTACCCCCCTTTAAAAATTTGTGTCAAATATGGCCACACGTTTTTTTTAGAAATGGGCCCCCCCCCGCCCTGTGGCAGGGGCAGCGGCCTCGTCAAGCACCAGTCTTTTTTGTTTCCCCTTCCAAGTTTTTTTTTGGGAAAAAAAAACAATGCACCCACCCCCCCCACCCCCCCCCCACCCCCCCCCCCTCCCCCCCCCCCCCCCCCCCACCCCCCCCCCCCACCCCCCCAAAAGCCCAAAAAAATTTGATCCCCCCCCCCCCCCCACCCCCCCCCCCCCCCCCTCCAAAGAAAAAATTGGGGAAAGTCCCCCCCCCAGGTCCCCCCCCCACCCCCCCCCCACCCTTTTTTACTTCCACTTAAAAAAGGGGATTTTAAAAAAAAGGCTGTCCCCCCCCCCCCCCCCCCCCCCACCAGTTTTGGACCCAAATTTCCCCCGTTTTTTGAAAAAATAAAACCCCCTTCAAAAAAAATACTTACCCCCCTAACCCCTTCCCCGTTTTTGAAAAAAAAAAAATGAATAAAACCCGCAACAAAAACAGAATCCCCATACTGGCCCAAGTATAATTTTTTAAAGAAACCAATTTTGCTGTTAGTAAAACCCCCGTTTTTGGGCCCTCCACAACTGTTTTAATTAGGGTTTTTTTTGTTTTTTTTTTATTTATTTTATGCCCGTATACATTTAAAAAAATTTGCCCCTGTTTTACCGAACCAAAAAATAACCCCCCCCCCCCCTCCACCAAATTAATGGTAGGGCCCCCCCAATCCAAGGGCTTCTCCTTAGACGTCACACCCACCCCCCCCCTCAAAAAGTACCCCCCAAAAGAAAAAGGGGGATGGCCAAGGGTTATACCCCGGAGTATGGGGGTGTTATTTCCCAACTTGGGCCCTTGGTTTTGTTGCTGGCCCCCCGGAAAGGGTTTCCCACCCCCCCTGAAAGGGGGCGCAAAGAAAAAAAAAGAAATAAACAAACCCCCAAAAGCGAAAAAACGACCCCCCCCCCCCCACAACCCCGGCCCCCCCCATATTCGTCCCATTACAAAAAAACAAACGCCCAAAAGCCCCGGCCCCCATCTTATTAGTTCCCCGTTTATGTTGGGAGGGTTTTTTTTTTTTAATAAAAAAGTTTATTTTTTTTTTTTTTTATTAATTATCTCATCAATAAAACTTATCCAAATATGGCTCCGCCATCCCCCGGCACCCCCCCCCCCATTTTTTTTTAGAAAAGTTCCCCCCCCCCAACATTACCCCCAAGGAAAAAACTAGTTCCAGCCCTATCTATTTTTTTCCCCCTGAGGGCCCACCCGTTTAAAAGGCACCCCCCGAAGTTTGTTTTTTTATTTTTTTGAGGGCCCAAGGAATTGGGAAGTTTTTTCCCCTTGTTTATATAAAAAAATGTGAATTTATTGGTTTTTTCCTTCCCCACAAAAAAAAAAACACAAAGAAAAAAAAAAAAAAAAAAAAAAAAAAAAAAAAACAAAATAAAAAAAAAAAAAAAAAAAAAACAAAAAACCCCAAAATTAAAAAAAATTCCCCCCAGCCCCCCAAAAAAGAACCCCTGAAAAAAAAAAAATAACCCGGCATATATATCCCCCCCAATCCCCAACTGAAGGGTTTATTTTTTTAAAAAAAGTTTGTGGGAAAAAGGAAAAAAAAATAAAGGGGAAAAAAAAATCCTTAAATTGTTAAATTGTTTTTCCACCAAAAAAGTTTTTTATTATTTCCCCCCTGCGTTTTATTTTTTTTGCTATTTTCCCCCGTTTGCAATTAAAACCTACTACCGACCCCCCATTACCCCCTCCCCCGAACAAAATTTTTATTTTTTTATCCCCTATTGGCCCCCTAAATGTATACAAAAAATCCCCCCCAAGCCTTTTTAAATTGTCCCCCCTCCACCACCCCCCCCCCACTATCCCAAAAAGCCCCGGGTTTTGGTTTTTGTTTAAAGTTTTCAACAGGGGTGCCCCCCCCTCCGGGTTATTTTTCCCCCCCCCCCACACCCCCCCCCCCCCCCCCCCCCCCCCGCCCCCCCTCCATGAAAATTCCCCTTTTTTTTTCCACCTGCCCCGTTTTTTTTGACAAAACCCCCCCCCACCCCCCCGTTGGGGACCCTCCCCCCCCATTCCCCCCCAGCAAAATGCATTTTGATTGCCCACCCCCCCCACCCCCAAAATTAAAGACCAAAACACTGCTTTTTTTTTGCTTGGAAAAAGCCCAATTTATTGTCCCCCCCCCCCCCCGGTACAACAAAAGGCCCCACCCCCACACTGGGGGGCCCCTTTAAAGGGAACAAGAAAGCAGGAGGGGGGGTAAAAAAACCCCTTGGAAAAAAAACACCCCCTTATCAACTAACATCTTAAAACCTGTTGGATTTTTATTTTTTTTTTTAGCCCCACTGGGGGCCCCCCCCCCCCCCCCCCCCACAAATCTTATTTCCCTGTGGAAAGGCCCCGTGCCCACAAAACCGGCCTCTAACCAAAAAAATGGAAAGCCACCCCACCCCCAAACAAGACCCCCGTGCGCGCGCCGAGGGGAGAGAGTCCCCCCCCGCGCTGCGAGAGTAGAGGGATGTCGATTGCGCGCGCGCGAGAGCGCGTGAGAGAGCGCCGCGCGCGCGCACGAGTTTGTCCCACCGCCCTTAAATTCAAAGTGGGGGGGGGTGGGGGGGGGGGGGCCCACAAAAAAAAACCTTTCAAACTGGAAATTTTTTTTTTTTTTAACTGGGGGAATTATTTTTTTCTTTGGCCTGTTAATTTAATTTTAAAAAGCCCACCTTGGGATAAACAACAACTAAAAAGTTTATATCCCCCCAATGGCCGGCCTTATATAAAAAAAAAACACCACTCCCCCAAAAAAAATTTTTTGTTGGCCCTCAAAAAAACGGTTAGTGTCCCCCCACCGTAAATTTTCCTGAATCCAAATCCCAAAACTGAAGAAAAAAAGTTTTTACCCGTGCCCCCATAATATTTTTTAATAGAATTTTTTTCCCAACCAGGATTAAATAAAAACAGAAGCCCCCACCCCCAATGCTTTCCCCCCCCCCTGGTAGACCGCCACCTTTATTTATCTTTCATATTTTTCCCCCCCCTAAATTGTATTTTTTCCCCTCGGGTCCAAACAAATTTTGTAACAAAAACTAAAAAATACAAACAACCGGGGAACCATTTTATTTTTTGTTTTTGGGGTTGGGCCGAAGGACAAAAAAATGTGAAAAAAAAAAAAAACCCAGTGAAAAAAAGAGCCAAAAGAAAAAAGTGGGGACCCCCCCCACACCCCCCCCCCCACACCCCCCCTCAACCCTCCCCCCCCCCCCCGTCCCCTTGCCGTGTAAAAAAAACCCCTTTCCCCCCACTTCAACACACCCTTCCCCTCCCCCCCGCCCCCCCCAAACAAATTAGATTATTCCACACCATCCTTTTTTTTTTTTTTGCCCACAACCCCCTAATTGCCAATGAAATAAAAACATCCCCCCTAAAAAATTTTTGGGCCCCTTTTGGGGGTATTATTAATTTCGTTCCCCCCCCTTTTCCGAGGGGTCTTTGGAAGGAAAAAGGGTTTGGGGGGGGGGTTTTTTTTTTTGAAAATTTTTTTATTTCCCCTTTTTTTTTTCCAAACATATAAACACCCTTTTTTTTTTTTTTTACAAGGTTTTTTTTCTTTTCCCCCCTTGAAAAAAAAAAACAAGTTGTTTTAAAAAAATCGTACCAAAATGAAAAATCCCTTTGAAGTTCCCGAAAAACCCCCCTTTTTTTCAAAAAAAAAAAATCCCCCAAATTTAAAAGGGACCCCCTCTTTTTTTTGGAAAAAAAAAACTCCTTAAAGCCTGGGGCAACAAAACAAAAAAAAACCCAAAAAATAAAAATTTTTATTTTGGGTTAAAAAATCCAAATTTCCCCCCCCTATATAGAAACCCCAAATTTTTGGGGGGAAGTTCTTTGAATAACTATTATTTTAATGGGGGTTTCGTTTCACCCAGCAAACCCTAGTTTTTTTAACCCAAAACGTGTGGGGGGTTTTTATTTGTTATTAAGCGGGGGGGGGGGCCCCGCGTTTCCCAAAAGTTGGTGGTGGCCCCCATTTCCCCGCTTCGCCATATGGGGATATAATTCTTTTTTGCCCCAAAGCCCCCCACCCCCCTTAAAAATAGAACCAACCCAAAACCACAACACTTATATGCCAAAAACCTTTTTTTTTTTTTATTTCAAGCCAAGGTAACACCCCTTGAAAAAGTTTCCCCCTTCCTTGTTTTTTTATTTATATTTTGGTTGGGGCCCCAATGCCTCCCCCCCCCCCCCAACATGGGATAATATGGCCGTTTCCCATGGCCTGGCCCTGGGTGGGACCGGGGACAAAAAAAATTTAGCCCCCCCAAGTGGGGGGGTAGGGGGTGGGGCCGCCACCCCCCCCCGATTTTGCTGAATTAAAAAAAATTTCCCCCCCGCCCCAAAACCCCTGAAACACCCAAACCAAAGGTTTTTTTTATTTTTTTGCCCCGAACCAAACATAACCACCCCAAATCTGATTTTTTTTTTTTTCAGGAAAAGGTAAACCTCCCCCGGGGGTATTCCACCACCACCCCTTTTTTTATAACCATTAAATTTTATTTTTTTATTTACAGAGAAAACTGCCCAAAAATAAATAGTAAAAACC